GGGGGGGGGGGGCATTCTGTGTGACAGTTGTTTGTCTTTCTCCCTGATGCAAAGCCACCTTTCTTGATTTTCATTCCCTGTACCTGTACGCCATGTCGTCACTCGCCCCTCCCTCCCTTCTTCCCCTGGTCCGTCAGATACTACTTTCGCGCCTTTTTTCAGACCAGACGCCATAGCCAGCACTGGGATCATGGAGCCCGCTCAGATCACCGCGGCAATTATGAGCACTATGAACACCACGCGCATTGTCCTGGAGCATATGCAGAGCCTCCTGGACATGCCAAAGCCAAACCAGGACCAGCTGAGGAGGAGGCGATTGCAGCGCGGCGACGATAGTGATGAGGAAATTGACATGGACCTCTCACAAGGCACAGGCCCCAGCAACGTGGAAATCATGGTGTTACTGGGGTAGGTTCATGCCGTGGACCGCCGATTCTGGGCCCGGGAAACAAGCACAGACTGGTGGGACCGCATCGTGTTGCAGGTCTGGGACGATGCCCAGTGGCTGCGAAACTTTCGCATGCGTAAGGGCACTTTCATGGAACTTTGTGACTTGCTTTCCCCTGCCCTGAAGCGCCAGAATACCAGGATGAGAGCAGCCCTCACAGTGGAGAAGCGAGTGGCGATAGCCCTGTGGAAGCTTGCAACGCCAGACAGCTACCGGTCAGTCGGGAATCAATTTGGAGTGGGCAAATCTACTGTGGGGGCTGCTGTGATCCAAGTTGCCAGGGCAATGAGAGACCTGGTGATATCAAGGGTAGTGACTCTGGGAAACGTGCAGACCATAGTGGATGGCTTTGCTGCAATGGGATTCCCAAACTGTGGTGGGGCGATAGACGGAACCCATATCCCTATCTTGGCACCGGCGCACCAAGCCACCGACTACATAAACCGCAAGGGGTACTTTTCAATGCTGCTGCAAGCCCTGGTGGATCACAAGGGACGTTTCACCGACATCAACGTGGGCTGGCCGGGAAGGGTACATGATGCTCGCGTCTTCAGGCAGTCTCTTCTGTTTCGAAAGCTGGAGGAAGGGACTTTCTTCCCGGACCAGAAAATAACCATTGGGGATGTTGAAATGCCTATCGTTATCCTTGGGGACCCAGCCTACCCCTTAATGCCATGGCTCATGAAGCCGTACACAGGCAGCCTGGACAGTAGTCAGGACCTGTTCAACTACAGGCTGAGCAAGTGCCGAATGGTGGTGGAATGTGCATTTGGCCGTTTAAAAGCGCGCTGGCGCAGCTTACTGACTCGCTCAGACCTTAGCGAAAAGAATATCCCCATTGTTATTGCTGCTTGCTGTGCGCTCCACAATATATGTGAAAGTAAGGGGGAGACATTTATGGCGGGGTGGGAGGTTGAGGCAAATCGCCTGGCCGCTGATTACGCGCAGCCAGACACCAGGGCGGTTAGAGGAGCACAGCAGGGCGCGGTGCGCATCAGAGAAGCGTTGAAAACCAGTTTTGTGACTGGCCAGGCTACGGAGTGAAACTTCTGTTTGTTGCTCCTTGATGAACCCTCTGCCCCTCCCCCACCACCCTGTTAACTCTACTTCCCTGCAAACCAACCACCCCACCCTCCCCTACTACCCTCCCCCCTTCGAGCACCACTTGCAGAGGCAATAAAGTCATTGTTACTTCACATTCATGCATTCTTTATTAATTCAGCACACAACTAGGGGGATAATTGGAAAGGTAGCCCGGGATGGGTGGGGGAGGAGGGAAGGAAAAGGACACACTCCAATTTAAAACTTTAAAACTTATTGCTATGGAAATCATCTAGGGTGGAGTGAGTGGGTGGCCGAAGGCCCCCCCACCGTGTTCTTGGGCGTCTGGGTGAGGAGGCAATGGGACTTGGGGAGGATGGCTGCTGGTTACAGAGGGGCTGTAGCGGCGGTCTCTGCTCCTGCTGCCTTTCCTGCAGCTCAACCATACGCAGGAGCATATCACTTTGATGCTCCAGCAGCCGGAGCATCGACTCTTGCTTTCTGATTACAAGTTGACGCCACCTCTCCTCTTCAGCCCGCGTTTCAGCACGCAACTTCTCCTCTTCAGCCCGCGATTCAGCACGCCACCTCTCCTCTCGCTCATATTGGGCTTTTTTAAAATCAGTCATTGACTGCCTCCACGCATTCAGCTGTGCTCTGTCAGCGTGGGAGGCAGTCTGAAGTTCAGTAAACATTTCGTCACGCGTCCTTCGCTTCCTTCTTCGAATATTCACTAGCCTCTGCGAAGGAGTAAGATTTGCAGCTGGTGGAGAAGGGAGAGGTTGTTAAAAAAGATACATTTTAGAGAACAATGGGTAGACTCTTTCACGTTAGATTTTGCTGTTCACAACATCACACAGCACATGTGCTTTCGTTACAAGGTCGCATTTTTCCTCTTATATTGAGAGTCTCCTGGTTTGGTGTGAGAGATCACTCACGCAGTGCCAGGACACAGATTTCAGCTTGCAGGCAGCCATGGTAAGACATATAGTCTTTGGGCTTTTTTAACCTTCTTAACATGTGGGGATGGTTTCAAACAGTTCTGCCTTCATTTCCCATACCAAGCACCCGTGCCATTTAAAATGGGTTTGCAATGTAAAAGGAGGGGCTGCGATTTCAGGTTTAACATGCAGCACAAACCCAACTAACTCCCCTCCCCCACACACCCAATTCTCTGGGATGGTCACTTCAACCCTCCCCCCCACCGCGTGGTTAACAGCGGGGAATATTTCTGTTCAGCAGAGCAGGAAGGGGCACCTCTGAATGTCCCCTTAATAAAATTGCCCCATTTTAACCAGGTGACCGTGAATGATATCACTCTCCTGAGGATAACAAAGAGAGATAAGGAATGGATGTTGTCTGCATGCCAGCAAACACCGGGACCATACGCTGCCATGCTTTGTTATGCAATGATTCCAGACTACGTGCTACTGGCCTGGCGTGGTAAAGTGTCCTACCATGGCGGACAGGATAAGGCAGCCCTCCCCAGAAACCTTTTGCAAAGGCTTTGGGAGTACATGAAGGAGAGCTTTCTGGAGATGTCCCTGGAGGATTTCCGCTCCATCCCCATACACGTTAACAGACTTTTCCAGTAGCTGTACTGGCCACGATTGCCAGGGCAAATTAATCATTAAACACGCTTGTTTTTAAACCATGTGTAATTTTTGCAAAGGTACACTCACCAGAGGTCCCCTGTGTGCCCTCAGGGTCTTGGGTGAGTTCGGGGGTTACTGGTTCCAGGTCCAGGGTGACAAACATATCCTGGCTGTTGGGGTAACTGGTTTCTCCGCTTCCTTGCTGCTGTGAGCTATCTATGTTCTCTCCATCCTCATCTTCCTCGTCCGCCGAACCCGCTTCCCCGTTTCCAGAGAGGGACTCATAGAACACGCTTGGGCTAGTGGTGGCTGCACCCCCTAGAATGGCATGCAGCTCCGCGTAGTAGCGGCATGTTTGCGGCTCTGCCCCGGACCTTCCGTTTGCGTCTCTGACTTTGTGGTAGGCTTGCCTTAGCTCCTTAATTTTCACGCGGCACTGCTGTGCGTCCCTGTTATGGCCTCTCTCCTTCATGGCCTTGGAGATCTTTTCTAATGTTTTGCCGTTTCTTTTACTGTTTCGGAGTTCGGCGAGCACTGCTTCATCTCCCCAGATGGCGATCAGATCCCGTACCTCCCGCTCGGTCCAGGCTGGAGCTCTTCTGCGATCCTGGGACTGGGACTGGGACTCCATCACGGTTACCTGTGCTGATGGGCTCTGCATGGTCACCTGTGCTCTCCACGCTGAGCAAACAGGAAATGAAATTCAAACGTTCGCGGGGCTTTTCCTGTCTACCTGGCCAGTGCATCTGAGATGAGAGTGCTGTCCAGAGCGGTCACAATGAAGCACTGTGGGATAGCTCCCGGAGGCCAGTAATGTCGAATTCCGTCCACACTAACCCAATTCCGACCCCCTAAGGCCGATTTTATCGCTAATCCCCTTGTCGAGGTGGTGTTAGGAAACCGGTTTAAAGGGCCCTTTAAGTCGACAGAAAGGGCTTCGTAGTGTAAACGTGTCCAGGCTTAAGTCGATTTAACGCGGCTAAAGTCGACCTAAACTCGTAGTGTAGACCAGGCCTTAGTAGGCCTGTTTGAATTTGTAAATGTCTTTGGTACAGAACCCACCTAAAAGATTTGCCTAAACTGTTACATTAAGCTGAGTTAAGGGTTGCAGTTACAATCCATTTTTCTGTCCATCCCAGAGGAAGGAGTGGATCCAGACAAAGTGCAGCCCCATTTACTCCTTAGACATCTTAATAGCATGCTATTGGCACTTGGTGGTCAATAGTACTGAGAGCCACTCAGTGATCGTGGTGTGGTGGTTTCTGTCCAAAACAAGACTATGCAACCCCTCCAACAGGGCTCTCTCTGTGTTGCATCTTGGCCTGAAGCCTGAGTATGAATTTTAATAAATCATGTTGTAAAGGTTCTGCAGTCATTTGGTAAACAGGCTGCTCCAATAAATAATTTACAGGAACAGTTTAAGAGCGAGGTCAGGGACGGCCCTTAGTGTAGGGTGGGTGGGGATCAATATGTGCGTGAGTAGCCTTTGGTGTGTTATAGCTAGTGCTTAAAAGTGGTCTGGAAAAAGTCAGGGGGGGCTGTCATAATTTGGGAGCACAACTTTGGTAAAGCAGTGCTCACAGTGCATCCCTCAGCTCTATTTCTATTTTATTTTATTGCCTGGTCCGGGAGTTGACTCCTGCCCACCCCGAAGCACTGTGGTAGGAGACTGAGAGTTGGGCGGGCAGACCTGATGAGCAAGTGGTGGGACTGAGCGTAAGGCAGCCCCTGTTGTGGCTATGGAGAGGTGCGGCTGGGGCGGCTCGTGACAGGGGGAGTGGACGCTCCCGGTGCTTGCGGTGCGTCTCTCCGGTGGTTACAGTGTACGTGGCGGGGGGACTTTTTAGTTGGGCGGAACCTTTCTCTCGCATCCTGTTTCCCGGCGCGGGGAAGCCTTTTCCTACCGGCCTCAGGCGCGCGCCAGGAGCTCCATGTGGGGCCGCCAAAGTCGAGCCGTGCTGAGTCCGGTTGCCGTAGCAACGCGGGCTTCGGTGTGGGCCCGACTAGGCCTCGCCTCCCTCGCGGGACCCGCTATGTGCAGCTGGGCCGCGGCGGGGCGGCGGCTGAGCGGCTGCCGAGCGCGCGTCGCGCTCCCCGGAGCCCCCGGGCGGGGGGGCAGCTCGTGGCCCGGCGGGGGCCGGGCCGTGAACCTGACCGAGCTGCTGCAGAGCTCGGTGGGGGACGAGGAGCCGGCGACGCGGCGGCGGCGGCCCCCCCAGGAGGGCACCGTGCTGCTCTTCCCCGGCCAGGGCAGCCAGTTCGTGGGGATGGGCCGGGGGCTCCTGCGCTACCCCAACGTCAGGGACATGTTCCGGGTGGCCGAGAAGGTGCTGGGCTACGACCTGCTCTCGCTCTGTCTGCGGGGGCCGCAGGCCGAGCTGGACCGCACCCTGCACTGCCAGCCTGCCATCTTCCTCGCCTCCCTGGCCGCCGTCGAGAAGCTCAACCACCAGCAGCCCAGTGTGAGTGGCTGGGGGGGTGAGGGGGGCGCCTGGCGCCCAGCCCCGGCTACCGTCCTTGACTGTAACGTGCCCAGGCCCATCGCAGGGTGCGGGGTCAGCGCGCTGGTGTCTAGCACAGCGCTGCGTTCCCTGGGCAGAGGTATCGACCGCCACGGTTTGCAGCACTGTTGGGTGGACCAGGGCCAGATTTCCAATTAGGCACATGCCATGGGGCATCGGTGCTTAGGGTTGCTTGCTGTCTCTAATCACACAAACCCAAACACCCTTGCCCCGCCCTGTGGCCCTGCCCCCCACTCACTTCATCCCCCCTCCCTCTGTCACTCGCCCTCCCCCATCCGCACTCACTTTCACCAGGCTGCAGGAATGGGTACAGGCTGCTCTGGGAGGGAGTTTGGGTGCAGGAGGGGGCTTAGGGCTGGGGCAGGGAGGTGGGGTGCAGGAGGGATGGAGGGGTTCAGGCTCCAGCCGGGCAGGGCTTACCTCAGGCAGCTCCCAGAAGCGACCAGCATGTCTGGCTCCGAGGCTCAAGGATGGTCTTACATCTCTGCACGCTTCCCCTGCAAGCAGCCAAATGGAACCACAGCCAATGGGAGCTGCAGAGTTGGCGCTCGGTACACCAACTTTCTAATCGCACAAAACCAAACATCCTAGCCCCACCCCTTCCCTGAGATCCCACCCCTTTGCCCCTTCCCCGAAGCCCCACCCCCTGCTCACTATATTCCCCCTCCCTCGGTGGCTCGCTGTCCCCCACCCTCACTCACTTTCAATGGGTTGGGGTGCGGGAGGGGGTGAGGGCTCTAACGGGAGTGCAGTCTCTGGGGTGGAGCTGGGGATGAAGGGTTTGGGGTACAGGAGGAGGCTGGGGGGGCGAGGGATGTGGGAGAGGGATGAGGGTTGAGGCAGGGGTTGGGGTGCAAGAAGAGGTACGGGCTCTGGACTGGAGGTATAGCTCTGGGCTGATGCTGGGGATAAGGGGTGTGGGGGTGGGGCTCAGGGTTGGGACGCAGGCTTACCTTGGGTGGCTCCCTGGCAGCGGCAGGCTCCCTGCCTCTCCTGGCTCCATGCTGCACCCCGCAGGCATCGCCTCCCCCAGCTCCCATTGGCCGCAGTTCCTGGCCAATGGGAGTGTGGAGCCAGTGTTCAAGGCGGGGGCAGCATGCGGAGCCTCCTGGTGCCCCCACCTAGGAGTCGGACCTGCTGGCCACTTCCGGGGCGCAGCACAGTGTCAGGACAGGTAGGGACTAGCCTGCCTTAGCCCTTTTAACGGCCTGGTCGGCGGTGCTGACAGGAGCCACCAGGGTCCCTTTTTTGAAAACCGGACACCTGGCAGCCCTAGGCAGCGCGCAGAGACCTGCTGGCTGCCCCTGCGCCAAAGAGCCACAGTGACGTGCCAGTTGCTTCCGGGAGCTGCGCAGAGCCAGGGCAGGTAGGGAGCCTGCCTTAGCCCAACTGCGCTGCTGGACTTTTAGTGGCCTATTTAAATCTCCCAGATTGGTTTCAGTAGCCTCTTGGAGATCAAGGCTGATTCTGTGAGACTCCTGGCCAATCCCGGAGGGTTGGCAACCCTGCCGGTGTTCTAGGGGCGCCCTACCTCTAAAAAACTGTGTGCAACACAAAGGTCAGCTGTAGACGGGTGGGGGAGGTGCTGAAGATGCTGTGCCTAGGGGTGCCTAAGGTGTAAATCCGGCACTGACGAGGACTGATGTGAGACATTCGTCCAAGTCCATCATGTCACCATGAGCTTGCCCTGTGTGTGTAAACCTAAATCTTCCAAAGTGACACCTCATTTTAGGTATCAGGGGGTAGCCATGTTAGTCTGTATCTACAAAAACAACAAGGAGTCTGGTGGCACCTTAAAGACTAACAGATTTATTTGGGCATAAGCTTTCGTGGGTAAAAACCTCACTTCTTCGGATGCATCCTTGACCTCATTTTAGGTGTCTCTCTTTTTGAGTGTCCAACTCAAAACATGATGTGCCTGTTAATAGTGCTGAGTGATCTCAGCTCCAGTTGAAGTCCATGGGGACTATATGTGCTTAGCACCTTGGAAAACCAGGCCCAAGGTGTTTAAAGTTGGGCACCCAAAAATGACATGGTTGCTTCTGAAATTTTGGGCTTTGGTTTTTCTCAGGATATCGTGATGTGGTCTAATTTGTTGGTTTGTATTTGTTTTATTATTTCAGGTCATTGAGAACTGTGTTGCAGCTGCTGGGTTCAGTGTTGGAGAGTTTGCAGCCCTGGTGTTCGCTGGAGCCTTAGATTATACAGAAGGTATTTAAAGGAATATTTCTAATTTCCCTCCATACACATACTACCCTTCCAAAACACCCCTCTATGACAACTTTTCCTTGCTGCTTCACCTCCTTTCCTTCTGAATATAAATTTCTAAATTCAGTTTCTGCTTAAACTACTTAATACAGTATATTACATTTAAATAGAAACCATTACATATTATATACACTGAATCATAAAAGAAACATATTTTAAGCTTGATCCTGCAGTTTGTTGCATGTGGATGAAACATTTTTCCCAGTTGGAATGCAGTTGTGAGAACAGAATCAGACCCTCCATTTAAAGCTAGCTTAAATAGTTACTTTAGATATTTGGGTTGTAGCATACAGAAATTGTTTCACCTGTGACAGACTGTTAAGACATTGACACTAAAAAAGTTTCCTAGATTTATTATTGATGAAGATTATAACTGGTTATAAATAAACTAAATTTACTATAAGCCTAGGAAATTTGTAATTTAATACATTACAAGAGGATTATATTCTTAATATTTTTAAAGAAATTAAATTGATCACTTGTGAAAATAAATTTTGTACGTACATTAAATGTTTTAGTTTTTGCCTTAAACTTGCTTTCAGCAAATTCAGAAATGCTAACCTACAGATTTTTAGAACATATGATTACTGACTCTAAACACTGTGAGAAATGTAAATTATATGTAACTATTTTGAATTAAATATTGTGAAGTATGCACTGTTGGACTTCTGTAAAGGAAAGAGATGTACACAATTTATTTTAATGTTCTTTTTTGAAAGGTTGCTAATACTTGTCTACAATATAACATATTTTAATAAACTTAACCATTTTTCTCTGAGGTTTATGTTTATTTAGAATTTTTGTTCTATCTCTAGCCTTGTATGCAGTGAAAGTGCGTGCTGAAGCTATGCAAAAGGCATCAGAAGCTGTCCCAAGTGGGATGCTATCAGTTATTGGTCAACGCGAGTCAAATTACAACTTTGCCTGCTTGGAAGCTCGTGAACACTGTAAATCATTGGGTATAGAAAATCCTGTGTGTGAAATTTCAAATTACCTGTTTCCAGATAGCAGAGTCATTGCAGGACATTTGCAGGTATTACTTCAAAATAAACATCTAAATACATTTTAATAATAGTTTACCATTCTATAGATCTGTAGGAAGGTTAACAATATTGGCACAACTTTGGCCAATGTGAACATGTCAAAACAAAGTATGTGGTTTGGGTTTCTGCAGTCCATGTCCAATCGTATGTTGTGGTCAAGTAGTACTTTTCTCTGAACTGCATGATTTAGGTCCCTGGGGGAGGATAAATTTAGTGTATGTTTTTGAAAGACAAATCAGATTATTTACTTTACACAATTCAGGACAAAGATATTCATCAGTGTTTTTTCTTTTTCTTACAGGCTTTGGAATTCTTGCAGGAGAATTCCCAAAAATATTATTTTAAGCGAACAAAAATGCTTCCAGTCAGTGGTGCTTTTCACACAAGACTCATGGAACCAGCAACAGAGCCTTTGGCTGAAGTTCTAAAATCAGTTGAGATTCAGAAACCATTCATCTGTGTCTATTCGAACGTTGATAGCAAAAAATATATGCATTCAAAACACATTCAACGTTTGTTAGTAAAGCAGCTTGTTTCACCAGTTAAGTGGGAACAGACTATGCATGCTATATATGAAAGAAAACAAGGAGTAGAGTTTCCTTATACATATGAAGTGGGGCCTGGGAAGCAGCTAGGAGCAATCCTCAGAAACTGCAATTTAAAGGCCTGGAAGCTCTATAAACATATTGATGTTTCAGAAGATGAGGAAGCAGAAGAAATGTAGTTTTGAAGAAAAATCCACATGATTTGCCCCCCCCCCCCCCCCGCTTAATTTTAAATGATTTTATTACTCCTGAAAGGCAGATACGACAACCCTGAAGACTAAAGGCCTCTCTTTATCTTATCCCCAGAGGAGCTCAGCACACGCAATTGCAATGCAAGGTTTCCTTCCCCATGTTACAGCTCCAGCATGCGTCAGACTTCCCATGGAAGGACCACTTCTAAGCTTCAGCCATTCAACCTGTCATTTCTGAGAGACAGCCAACAAAGATGCCAGTTTACTATTAGATTTGGGCCCGGTCCTGGTAGCAAATCCACACATGCAGGCCCTTTTACCCATGTGGAGTCAAGTTGAAGTCAGTAGGGTTCTGTCCATGTGCAAAGGTCTTTTTGCTTGGATCTAGTTGCAGAATCAGGCCTTTTAATAGTATTTTCTTATGTGGACTTCTGTTTATTAGGATCAAGAATTTATTTCGATAACTATTGGATAAACTATTGGATTATAACAACTTTCAGTCACTACCATGTTTTGTTTTATAAAGTATCTAATCAGTGGGACAAATAACTGAAATGCTCTTTTTTTAAATTTTGTTTCTACAGGAAAAGTTTATTTTTTCCATGAGTCAGATAAATTAGAAAATTATTATTAGAAATACAATTTTCTTAAGGTTTGTATTATTAATAAATTATTTATAAAGCTCTTCCTCCATGAATTAATGCTATCAGTGTAGTAATTACACACAGTCCATCTGTGGAAGGAAGTGTTTTCCTTCCTCTGTGCTCACTGTATTTCAAGATGGTTGTAGAGTGTTTCCTTTTCTAAGTTACCAGAAGCAGACATGACCTTTCACCTTTTAGCCACTGCCACGCCTCTCAAAAGCTTTACCAGAATTCTCTACCACCAGCTAGGTGTAAATAGTAGGCTTGAGTTCCCTGTCTGTGGCACTTTTTTAGATAATACAGCTCAGCCAGTGAGTTAGTTATTGGGCCAAGTTGATCCTTTGAACCTCTTTTAAGGAAGCAGAAAAATGGCTACTCAATCTTTGCACCGTCTCCTTGCCCCTGTGCTTAGAATAGGGGCGGTAAGGAGTGTTGGAAGGTTAGTGCTAGAAAATGCTCTGTGCTTCACCCTGCTACAGCCCTGTACAGAGGATCTTGGGTTTTTTGCCACAGCAATAGGAGAGGAATTCAGGTGCCGGAGGAGAGCTAGATCCCTCTGCAGCAACAGTAAGATGATTTTCTCATTCTACTTGTGGGTTGGAGTGTGCTAAGTAATGAGCAAATCATACTGGTCCTCTATGCCATACTAGGTGCAGCTGGAGCATAAACAACATTATCTGGCCTCTTCTGCAAGTTCCTTCACTTCAGGTTAAACAATCGAAGCAGCCCCACTGAAGCCTCTGCACCCATCAGTGCAACTACAGGCTTACATTGTATATGGGCTAGGCTTGCTCTGAACACTGGGGGTAAATAATGATGCCTTGGGCCCCCTTTCCACCTACTCAGCCAACTAGTGGAGGTGCCCATAGAGGTTATGTGGTGGCTGTTTGCCTCCAGCCTCTAGCCCTGCATGATTCCACTATATGGGATGATTGTTGTACTTAAGGCATATTGGATTATGCAGTGCCACTCACTGATCCTAGCAAGGTTCTCTGGGGAGCATTCCTAGCCAATGGTTGATGAATTAGGCCCTTAAATGAAACAGATTCTTTTCTTGTTGCTCAATGTTAATTAATGAATCTCCAGCTTCAAACAAGCATTCATTTAAAATAAAGAGTATTGTATCTAAGAATTAATCTTCCCCTGTGGAATCCAGTCCTCTCAAACAACAAATCTGTTAGCAGTTTTAAATGTAATCCAAAAACAGAAAAGATTATTATTTTGAGCTCAGATGCTGCATCTCATTCAGTCTAGCCTCATAGCCACAGGGAAATACGAATGAAGCTTATTGTTAAAGAAAAGATGTTGGTGGCTATCTTCCTCAGACTGCCCACAGAAAAAATGTAGGTTTAAAAAAAACTCAAAAGAAAGAACAAATAATTCTCCTCTGGTTAATTATCCCTGAGGCTCTTGGGACAGAGCCTTAAGTCAGAACTAGGGGGAAGAAGAGGAGGGTAAAGACAAGCTATTTCCATGGTACCTATTTGAGAATGTTGAAACAATCATCATCCTGGATATTCAGCCCAAACATCTAGAGGTGCTTTATTTAAAAAAATGCAAAGCTCCATACACGTGAGTATTTCTATCAAATTAAAAAAGCTGTGCAAGCCTTTGTAATTAAAGGCAGAATAGAAATGCTCCACTGAAGTCAAACAAATGGAGCGATTAAAAAGTTCTATTTGTTGTTGAAGGACAAAAAGACTTGTTACCAAAGGTGGCAACAGCTGCAGCAAAGGTTAAGGACATCATCTCTTCTTTTTTTGGGGTGGGGGGGTTCTGACTCCCCCCCCCCCCCATGCCTGATCTACAGGACCAGGAAACCAAATGATTCTGGGGGACAACTAATGAAACGACAGGAGTGCGGTCAAAGGGTCAAAAGAAGGGTGCCTGATGGGCTTCTCTTCTTCCAAGGCAGAACTACTAAAAGCCCCTGAACAGGAAGATTTGAATCAGTACTGAGGTCTGAGTGCAAGGTGGTGGTATCAGCCTTTTGACTTTCTCTAGCTACATCTTGCTTTTCAAGGGCCATTCTGGCATGGGCAGATGAAGTGACTAATCTGAGTCCATCAAAATGCAAGAGTTTAAAAGCAGTTTTTCAGAAGTTCTCGTCACAACCTAGCTGAGTCCCTGTAGTAGAGGGTTACCAGGCTGTGTTAATTGGATCCAAACTTTGGGTACCACATGCATCTAAGCTGGCTGGGTCTGAGTAACATCCAGTCACCATTTCTGGCTCTGGGATTCTGAGGCCCACTTGGTGCAGGCTTCCCGTCTGAAACCCATTCTTTGGATGGGAGACTCCACTGTGCAACTGTGCTGAAACCCAAGTCCATTGCTGAGGCTTCCCAAATCACTTATGGATCCTTCCCCAGAGTCTTGACCCCCAAAGCCTCTGGTTTATAGTTTAATTCTTCAAGCCATCTGTCAACTAAGGAACACAGAGTTTGCACAGAAATTCCTTCAACACATGCATAGTTATTCATAGATACCACAGGAGAGTTACAGAGCTATGCAAAGCAATGAATGCCTGAACACACAATTCCCACCCTCACCACTTTTGAGAGGCCTTGGAGTTTTGTCAGCATTGGGGAAAGGCAGTGCTCCTCCACAATACCTTGTATTTCTTGTGATGGACTGGCTCACTTGCTTAGAGAACTTGTTCCTCTTAAAAACTGTCTGAGATTTTTTTCTCTTCTTCCATGAGGGATGTTCCAACTCTCTATTAGCTGTTAGGCATAGGGTAATGAAAAGTCAATTGCACTTCTGATAGAAACCCCATTGCCTCCCATGGTAAAATTACTCAATTGTTGAAGGCTGTAAAAGGGTAGGTGGCCCCTTAAATGAAACTGGGCTCAGTGCTCTTGTTACAGTCCAGGTGCTCATAGTGGAGCCAATTAAGAGGGTAGTGCAGCAACCCAGGGGCTATAAAAGGTCAGTTGGGCATCAGCGCAGACTGACTGAGTCAGTTAGGAGAAGACAGCTGTTAGAAACAGAAGTGGGTCCTGGGAGAAGCTGAAGGTAAAGAGAATGGCTAAGGCGTTTGTTGGCTGGTGTTATCCAGGCTAGGGCTGGAGGTGGAAGCAGCAGCAGTGGGAGTTGCCTCCTGGCCCTAAGACAGATCAAAGAGCTTGAGAGGGCTGAGGGCAGGGAAGCAGCAGGGAAACTTACTGCTGCTATGTCTAGCACTGGAGAGCTGGATGCATGGGAATAGCGAAAGGGCCAACGGGAATAAGGAATGCTTCCCTGGTAAAGATCCTCTCCCAGCAAAGAAGTTTTGGGAGGTTCCCCCTAGGAAGAGCAGGGTTGTACTCTAGCTGGAAGGATTGGGGTGGCTTGCAGAGGGATAGAAGAGGATGGATAAGGAGCCTGCATATGATGGAAGACACTGAAGTATGGTGAGGATGATCTCCTGGTAGACAGACTGTGCGGGTTCCTGCTGGAAAGAGCAGGGGTTTAAGGACTGTGCACTGGGGGTTATATGGACTATGTTTTAAGAAGGTTGTTATGGACTACTTGCACTATGTGTTGTTAACAAGCTTAACTGACTAGAGGATAAGCTTGTGTGGTGTTACTGGGGCCTCACAAGGGAAACAGGTTGGGGGAGGGGACTGCCCTGTGGTTTATAATGGCCCAGTTTCAGCTCCCCAGACACAATCTCTTCCTGCTACAAAATGAAAATTCTAATCCACACTGAAGACTACAAGCATAAATGCTATTCATAAAACAAAAAGGAATTACTGTAATACATGGACATAGCCATGTCTTCTAATCTTGTTATATGCACTGGGGGAACTGTTCACTGTTGCCCTATCTCCAAACTCTGAGATTTCCAGGTTTATCAGTGGCTTTGAACATTGGTAGACAAACCTTTTGCTTTGTTGCTGGAAACTGATACATGGGCACAATGGCTCATTGATAACCTCAAATAATGATTGTAAAATCATAGGAAAACCTATACAGCAGAAGTGGCAGATAAGGTTCCTCTCTTTTACCAAGCAACAGAAAACGAGCTACTCTTCAGAACTACTAGTCTAGATTTGTGAGATAAGACGATGTAGGGAGAGATTTAGAAGGGGAGAAAAGTAAAGAGCGGACAGTACCACCAGATGTTCTGCAATTAAAATAATTTAACCTGAGATATCTGGGGAAGTAGTGCCTCTAGGAGACAAGACAAAGGTTTGCACAAATATAGGAGATGGTCAGTGTTTGCTACAGTTGAAACTTTACTAACAAATGCAGCATTTAAACATGCTTTTTGCTAGCACGACTTCTCTGATTGGAGGGCCAGATTGGGGTTTTACCCCTCCCTCAAAAAATTGATATGGATGAAATTTAAAAAAAAAACTAGAAAAATGCAGGAAAATAAATGCCATTACTTATTTTCTTCTCAGTGGTTGCACAGAAACCAATACAGTCAAATAAAGAATCCTCTACAATGTACTTGATATTCTTTGTGGTCCTGAAACAGAATGGGGTTTCAAGGCACTCAGTAGATTTAGTCAGAAATCAAGACAGAGGTCTTAAATAACATTTTGTAGCAGCTCTCTCCCTTCAGATACTTTACTCTTTAGGAGACCGAAAAGCAGCGATCGAGCAGATAACTATTCAGGAATGTAATTTCAAGTCCTGACCTTTCTCTTGTCACAGGAAGTGCTTCTAGTATAGGGCCCTCCCCTTTTGCAAACTGAAGTTTCTGAAAGTTTAAAAAAAATTCAAACAACTTTGATTCCTGGAGGGCTGCTGTGTCTACCTGTTCCTGAATAACCTTCAACTTTACTCTGCCCACTATATATATTTGTATATAGTAGGGCTATCAAGCGATGAAGTGTGTGGTTTTTTTTTTTATTGTGATGTTAATAGTATACTATATAAATATTTTGGATGTTTTCCACATTTTCAGATATATTGATTTCAATTACAACACAGTACAAAGTGTACAATGCTCACTTTATATTTATTATAAATATCTGCACTGTAAAAAACAATAGTATTTTTCAGTTCACCTAATACAAGTACTGTAATGCAAACTCTTTATCAC